CGCTCTCTCTCTATGAATGAATGAAATCATCGAAAATTTCTGACAGTGGAGTTTGAAGCTTTCAGACAGTTGTTTATTGCTAATGAGCTGCTAAAGTTGCACTGCAAGTGCCAGGACCCTGAGCCCATCCTCCCACCACTTCCTGAGGGTTTGTCTGATTGGCTGCAGAGCTGGCCTAGGGACAGGGCTGGTGTCTGGTCTTGAAGACAGTTTTGCTGAGAAGCCTGAGCAGGATTTTCCTCCTGCCTTGCTTCAGGAGCAGCTTTTAGAGGCTCCTGCCATTTATCCTTTGCTGATCTATGCTGCAGCAGCATCACATTCATGCCTTGCCTGGTTGTGTTAACCTGGACCTGGACCCTGACCCACAGACTGACTTGCAGGCTTGACCTTAACTTCTGCCTCATCACTGTGGAACTCCCTGCTTATCTGGCCTCTGGAGCTGATGTGGCTGCTCCCTCGGCTTGCCCTACTCTGGGCAAGGCCGTTGCTAAAGAGGTCTCTCCCTGCCAGCCATGTCATTACTCTGGTTTCCTTCTTGTTGGAAGCCCTTGTTTCCTTTCATATCCTTTGCCAGTTTCAAACCCTGGTGCGTTTTGACTCTTCATCTTCATTTGGAACTTCATCTCTGAGGCTTTGTATTCCTGCTGGGTGGCCCATCCCTACTTCCACAGCCTCTGTGCTTCCATCTTGGATTTTCAGCTCAGTTTTTCATGTTGCCTTTTATGCTTTTCCACTGTAAGTTTCCTTGACATGCTGAACAGCAAAATGGGCTTGCTGAAAGTAATGTGATATAATGCCATCAAAATGTAGACTGGGATGTGTACAAACACATCTGTTCCAGTGATGGAAATTGAGCTGCAAGAATGTAACCTAAAAAGCTTTGATCATAACAACAGTTACATAGGATATGTGAGAGTTTACAAGGCTGATCAAACAAGGATAGCAGGAGATACCCGGAGAGCAGAGGGGAAGAAAATCATGCTTCAGCAATAGTACTTGCAGAAACTTTGTGTTTCCATAGCTGTAAGTGGTCTAGACAGATTTAGAGTTTCTCTTGGTATCATTTAGAAATCTATAACTTCATCAGATACTACTGCTCAGCTTAGAGAAGTGGGTCATTAATCAGGTACAGAAAAGAAATATTTGCTTAAATGCCTGTTGTGTTTACAATACACCACACAGTGCTGAGCACCCTAGTGAGTAATGCAGTAGTTACACAACACAGGTCCTACAAATTCATTCTATAGGATTAGCAAAGATATCATAGAATCATAGAATAGTTAGGGTTGGAAAGGACCTTAAGATCAAGTTCCAATCCCCCTGCCATGGGCAGGGACACCTCGCTCTAAACCATACCACCCAAGGCTTCGTCCAACCTGGACTTGAACACTGCCAGGGATGGAGCATTCACAACCTCCCTGGGCAACCTATTCCAGTTCCTCACCACCCTAACAGGAAAGAATTTCCTCCTTATATCTAATTTAAACTTCCCCTGTTTAAGTTTTAACCCATTACCCCTTGTCCTACCACTACAGTCCATAATGAAGAGTCCATCCCCAGCATCCCTATATGCCCCCTTCAGATACTGGAAGGCTGCTATGAGGTCTCCACGCAGCCTTCTCATCTCCAGGCTGAACAGCCACAACTTGCTCAGCCGATCCTCATACAGGAGGTGCTCCAGTCCCCTGATCATCCTCATGGCCCTCCTCTGGACTCGTTCCAACAGTTCCATGTCTTTTTTATGTTGAGGACACCAGAACTGCACACAATACTCCAAGTGAGGTCTCGCGAGAGCAGAGTAAAGGGGCAGGATCACCTCCTTCGACCTGCTGGTCACACTCCTTTTGATGCAGCCCAGGATACGGTTGGCTCTGTGGGCTGCAAGCACACACTGAAGCTGGTTCATGTTCATTTTCACTTCATTTATTTAAGTAAAGAGTTTCTCTGGAGTAAGCATATGTAACACAGCAACTATCTTGTGGAAGTTTAGCTGAACTTATTTTCTTGAGTGGCAAGTTTATTGCCACAAGATCAACAGCATTTGACATGACATGTTAGTTTTGCACGTACTTGCCATAAAAGCAAATTGAAAATCTTAAATTGTCTTATTCTTCACCTTAAAAGTTTGTCTATCTATAGATGCAATTTTGCAAAAATGAATTTTTATACTGGTCTTCTTTGTGCACTGCAGTAGAGTTAAAGCATTCTGTTCTGAGATATGGGTGTACATTTCCATGTACCTGTCAAGTCAGACTTCCTCCATGCATACAATCAGCACTCACAGGATCTAAAGATAATTTACAAGAAAACTAGAAGGCATTCTAGTACTTCCTGCAGTTAGTGCTGCTGTATTGTTTCAAAACATGTTGCTTTCTGACATTTATTAGGATATATTTATTTGGAATAAAACACCTTTTCACCAAAATGGGAATAAAATATTTGTATCTTAGAAGTTTCAGAATGAACTTTATTAAACAGAGCATTTTATTCGGTATCTATCAATCAGATTAATACCTGCTTTATAAAGCATTCACACATCTGCTCAAGATATGGGTGTTATTTTTTTATTACTCTGTTTGCAATGTTAAACCATGGATTTCATTCATTCTCTGAGTGATACTGTAAAATTACCTTTTTTCATCCTTGTTCTCTCTCTGCTCCAGGCTTTTTATCGTAACAATCTTCCTTTCATGTACCTTGCAATGATAAGCAATGTAGCATTTCAATCCTGCTGCAGCTGAACATTTTGCTTTCACACTAGCCTTTGTCCATGCTTTCTTCAGAAGCAGTAAAGAAATAACTACACTGACAAAGTGAGACTGAATCTGACACAAAGACTTCCAGATACCTCATTGTACACTTCACCTGGTATAACATTTTAAGCAGCAGCACATTTTAATGTAAGATTGATCACTGTGACACAGTTACTCCATATGTAAGTCCCACTGTGCAAAAATTTGCTAAGAGAAGGCTGACTTCTAAATGATGCATAAAGGAAAGATGTTTATGTACAAAATGAATTATTATTTCTGATTGATTTTTAAATAAGGAGACATCAGTATAGGGATTAGATATTTAAGTACTAATGCAGAACGTTGTTTCTTATGCATTGAAAAAAATTAACAGCACCTAAAAATGCATATGAAAATTATTAAGTGTTATTTTGTCTTTTGAAAACAATTTAGTGATACAAGTTACATAACTTAATATGTCTAGAAGTTTACTAGTATTTATCTTCCAGGGTAATTGCTGCTCTTAAAACTATTGTTATTTCTTTCAGCTTTTAAGTATAGAGGCCAGGAACTTCACTTTTTGGACATTATGGAATATATTACTGCAGACACTACCTAGCCTTGATATCATAACAGCTATGATGCTTAAGATGGAAGTGATTTGTTAATGTATTATGTTTGCATGAGAATGTATACATATGTGGAGTTTCAGGTCATCAAAAGCCTGATTCTGATAATTTAAGCATTTCATAAATCCATACATTTATTCAGAGATTAAAACTTACTTTTATAGACTTGCTGAGAATTTGTGATGTTACATCCATGCACCCTCCTCAGAAGTATTAACTGTGATCTGGTGGTGGAAATGAACAATAAAAAAGCCAGCCGTATTGTTAATACCTATTCAAGAGGCATCCTCAAGTCATATGCTTATAGCAAGTGAGAGATCTGGATCCTATACAATGGTCCATCTGCCTGCTGGATTCAGTCCACAAGGAACACCATGAATCCTATTCTGAGAGAGGTGGTGTGACAAATAGACTAATTTCAAAATTTTGTAGCATGCTGACTGCATACCTAACTAATAACCAAGTTCCATCTGTGATAGGCAATACAAGGTGCAACTGGATGGCCAGTGCTTTCACAGTGCAGAAAACCTGAGTGTGGAAAGATAGATAGCATAAGCTTGCCTAGGAATGCACTACGAGGACACCTTGAAGGTATATTTGACTGCAAACAGCTTACTATAAAACTATGAAATTGGAAGAGCAAAAACGAAGAAAGCTGTTGGATTATCTGAAGAGAAACAGCATAGCTTCAGCAGTAAAACTGAAAACTGCGGGAGGAAGCACTTAGAGTGCGGGAATTTAGCACTGCTGTTAACTAAGTAATAAAAAGGGCTTATCACACAGAAGTCTAAATATATCCTCCACCTCTAAATAGCTAGATTTATTCCTATGATCCCACAAATACAGCAGATTAGCAAGCACTCCATAATGAATTAGCTAATAACTAATGTAACTCAAATATATAATGTTGTTATAATGGGAAAAACTGGAAACAGTTTCAAGCATAGAAGAGTACAATAATTCATCAGTTGGCTGAAGTTTAACCAGCTCAGTTTCCTAGGGGTATATGAACAATCAGCGCTGAGTAGAAGTGGTAAGACAGAACAACGGATTTGTGTATAGGTCAAAAGTGTACATTGTAACTTCACTGTAATTATGCTCGATTTCAGCATAAGATAGGACAATTTGAATTATCAAGCATCTCAGCATGATTACCCTAAGAATGAATTTCAGCAACAATTAATGAACACATTCCATTTAAATTGTGCATTCTTATTACACACACACAGCAGTTCCTTAAAAATCCTTCACTAAGGTTTTAATCTGGATGGTGAAGAAATGAATGTTTATTCTGACTCCTGCAACAGTATTTTACATTTGAATTTCTAAACAATGTAAAATTTGCACTTATATTTATTTGAAAATGAACACTAACAAGATCATATTTATTTTGCATTACAATGATGGGATCGATCGTTAATGAAAATAAGGCACACAGAAGACAAAATGGCATTCATTTGCTATTATCTGCTTTATTCTGTATCTGGGTTATTTTTAGTCTTTGGAAAGGGAAGATTTGCAAGTATTCTGTACAGCATTTATGAACTATACAAAATAACTGTAAACAGCTAGTGCCATAAAAATGAAAACAAAACAAAACAAACACCTTTCAGAAGACACTTCCTCTTGTATTTTTCAGATATTTCCATTAGTGATCCATCTTTCAGAAGTAATGAATCATCATGGATGTCATTTGCACCCTTTTATATCCGGCATAAGACTCATATCAAACTGCAGTTTCAGCCTCTATCTCCAGATGGTATCTTGTTTTACACTGCACAGCATTTGGGTACTCAGTCAGGTAAGAAACTTCCAGCTTGCTGGTATCATACATGCAGGTACCTTTATTTTGAAGAAAGACAGTATATTGAAGTGATTCAGGCCTTCAGTCCCTGTGACTCCCTCTCCATAGTGACTGGGTTTTGAACTGTGATTAATCGAGTTCATCAGAAAAAACATAACAAACCATAAACAAGAAAAAACATAATAAAATTGCAGACTAGTCCAAAGCCATCAAATATTTAACGAATTAGTTCAGGAAACCATTTTACCCCAAAAAGTTACTCTAGCCAGCTTTATGACAGACATTTACTAATACTAATCCCACAGTTTCAGTGCAGCTACCCTAGGATTCACTGTCTGGGTGTTTGGCCCAGCATTTTAAAATGACCAGAAATAAAGCAATAAAAAAACTGATCAAACAAGTTAAGTGAAAGTGAACAGACTCTGAGAGATTTATGAGCTTTACTGCAAGTTTAACTTTTTATTACATAATGCTGAAAATCTTGCTGGGGCAGCATGCAAAAAACATGCAAAAGTTTTGTGTTTGCCAGCTATGCAGGGTGCAAAACAAATCTAAATAAGGTATTTCCGCTATTTATAGAAGTGTTTTAAACTTTGGTGAACCGTAAAGTCATAGAACACCAGGCTGGAAGGCACCTCGAGGATCATCTGATCCAACCTTTCTTTGCAAAAAAAGTCTATACCACATGCCCCAGCACCCTGTCCTGATGAATTTTAAAAAAGTCCAATGTTGGGGCATCCACCACTTCCCTGGGGAGATTATTACAATGGCTGATTGTTCTCATTGTGAAAAACATTCGTCTTGTGTCCAACCAGAACCTCCCCAAGAGTAACTTGCGCCTACTACCACCTGTATTTTCCAGGTGATTCCTTGTAACACTGGGTTATAAACTGAGTTAAGATTCCTAAAACTTCATGGCAAGAAAACATTATTTGCCAATCAGTGTAAATACATTTTAAATTGTAGTTTTTAAGGTAGAAATCTGTTATAATTACTTTATTAACATACTTTATATTGCATTTATGTGGTATCTTCCACATTTTTAAACAGAAGTGTTACATACCATAACATAATCTTAGAGCAAAATCAAGCAGTATGTTTTGCAGAACCAGGCCTTTGCATGACAAAAAAAAAAAAAAGCACTTAACTATTTAACACGTATTTTTACATTCCTCTGCTCAAAGCTTAAAGCTTTGAGACATTTCAATAAACATATTCAAGCACATATGCACAGAAACACATATGCCCATGTTACCAACTTCTTATTCTATCCACAGACGTTTTAACAGGCTGCTTTTTTGTAAGACTTATAACACATCATACACTGCTGGTAACTCCCATTTACTTTTGTTCTAATTTCAACCACATGCAGAGAATAGCTTCAAAGAAAAATATATGGCATATCTGTAATACAAATACATTTATTTGCAAAGAACTCTGTCTTCCACAATGAATCTTTTATAATTCTATCACTTACAGGCCAAATTCTGAGATTCTCAGTGAACAGTTCTCTCCTGTATAAACTAAATCATTACATGGGCCATGAAAAATAGAAGAGAAAAAAGGATCTCTCTCAAAAGAATAGTCAGAGGTCAGGGAAGCAACTAGTGTATAAAGAAATTCAGTATCTCTTTGGAAGCATCAAAGAGACTGCTAAGTCCATTTAACTTGGACCAGGGGTGTTTTAGCATGAGCATGCCTTCATTCTGTTGCCATTCATGAATGTTTAGTTTGCACAGGAAGAAATATTTTCTTTAAATCATTTTCTAGAATCATAACAATTTCATTTCAAAATAAACCCCATCCTCTATAGAGTAATTTAATTTCTTTACTTCCTTACTTCCATTTTCACCGTCCTGAAGTTTTGAAAGATTTGGGAAAAGCTAATAGTCTAGGTCTTTATATTTGCTTTCGTATAAGCCTGTCAAATCCAGATGGAATTAGACTGATGAAAGACTCAGAAGTATTCTTAGCAGCCAGCAGATGTGAAAGAGCTTTCTGTTGGGGATTAGTTTAGAAAGCACTTTAGATAAAGCCTTTTCTCCTACACAGTTATATAAGACTTAATAAATTAATTGCCAAAATCACAGGATTTTTTTTTTTTTTTACAAATTCCCTTTTAATAGGAAGTAATTACAATTCCTTTTCTTCCTCACTAGGCAGTGCTGGGTTTTTTTAAAAGAAATGAGCTCTGATTACGCAGCCAATTTAGCAATGATACTGAGTGGCACAGATGTACACTGGCTTGGCTTGTCACCCATGTAAACACTAAACTGGGACCTTCTCTTCAGGGGTATGCGCCTGCCGAAAAATCCTCCCGTCGTCAAAAAAGAATCTTTAATAGGTGAAGAAATAAACATGAGAATTCCACTAAAACATTTCCTTCTTGCTCTGTTCTTTCCAAAGAACATTACATGCATTTCTAGAAAGGGTGGTGAGGTGGCTATTCTACTTACTCCTCTAACAATGTGATTCCTTCAGTACACACATTTGAACACCTAGCAAATTGGCATAAAATGGAGAACATCTTATGAATCTTTATCTGTTAACAGAATTTCCTGTAATTCTGTCAGTTACTGGTTTTCTCGCTTTGCCAGCTGTTTCTGAATGTGTATCATAAATTTAAGTCTGGTACTATTGATTTCTGCAGGCCCTGAGAAAACCATTTCCAAAGTTTGGCAAAACTTACACCGCTGGCTATGTTAGTTATAAGCTGAAAAGAAACCCCAATAAGTGAGCTGTGTATGAAGATTTTAGTTTGGAAACTTGCAGATATGACAATGGGACTTTTTCCCCTTGCTTTGATTACTTGTTTTATGCCAATGAGGCAAAAATGTGGGAGATACAGACAGCTGTATGCGCTGTTTCTGAGTGAGTCCTCTGCAGATAACACAGAATTATTTGTGGAGTTCAGCAGTCAGTGAAAGCAGGCCCAATTCACATTTTTTCAAGTGCAGTGTATCCTATTTCTACCAGCAAAAGTGTGACAGCTTTTAATTCAGACAGCGTTTGCCAAGTGACCATCAACAGCTTGAACAATGAATAATTCAGCCCATTTACATAGCAACCATTCTATATATTTGAAGGCCTCGGCAATCTGGCTAAAAACAAGTAAGAAACATTACTTTTTTGTTGAGTCACAGCATTACTGAAGCTCTACGTTTGTTTATGAAGGTGGATTATGCTGCGGACTGTCTGCACTCTTCCAAAGTCCAGGCCAGGTTGATGGAAAGGTTTGCTCCCCGATGAGATGAGGGAGAACAGATATACTGGGTGACTAAGAAGGAAGTCAGTTTAATAGACAGAATGGGATGACTCATGCTGAATTTAATACTTAACATTTGGAACAGCAATGCTCTGTCTCTCTTCAACATGATTATGTTACCTAGCTGGTCTGAAAAAAACCCCGCGGAACTTCAACTCCAGATATTTGAGGCATTTCAGTTTAAACCCCTGAAGCATGAAAATCAGAGACGGCCAGTATGGGGGTGTGATGTGTGCAGTTTTCTGACACTGCTTACAGCAAAAACAGAATAATGGAACTGGACTGAAATCTTCTGGAAATACTCTAGAAATTTCTAGAATTCTCACATGGGAGAAGTGTTGTTTTCCTGATCAGAAATAAATTGATTATCCACCCACTTTCAGAACAGGGTGGTTAAGTCTTCTCTCTTGGCAGCCATGTTTCTTAGCCAGCAGGGACATCATTTCTGCTTTGTCACTAGTTTTGTGATCATTTCTATGGAAATTATCAACATAAGAAGCATAACTGCTAGTTACCCATCTGACACTGCTATCGTCCTGAAATCTTTTGCATATGAAGTGTTGTTGTTACCCATTTGCCACTGGCAAGCAAATCAGAATTATGACAGGCACATTGATGTTGCTCAAGGAAGGTTGCTTCTAGCTGCTGAGACATCCCAGGGTGATAGTGGTGGCTACAGGAAGCAGAAAAACTTTCTTCAGCAAGGAAAGCAGCATTTTTTATAGATGAGGCTGAATGGTCTAACCTACAAATCAATAATCACCCATACCTTCTAGGTGCATGAGCATCACACTGCCTGCTGGATCGCTCCAGATCCCAGCTATGCCTTTCTGCTCTGGGGTGATGCTCCAACTGGAAGAAACTTTCTGCTTACTTACAAGTTCAGGCCTTGTGCTAGAGGATGGAAAGGTGAGGAAAAAGAAACAGAAGGCATAGACGGAGGCCATCAAACATACCTCCAGAGATGCCATCTCAGGTCTCTGAAATGGCTGAAAGAACCAAGTCTATAGATGCTCTGTAACCAGAAAACCACTGCCTACAGCTTGAGACAACTTACCTTGCAGAAGCTGCTGAAGCATCAAAGCCTCTGTTCCAGAATAACACAGAGGCTTCTATTTGGTAACACAGGATGAGAAAAACGACAAGCATCAGCTGTCTTTCAAAGCTTTATAATGAAATCTAGACCTTCAGTAGTCCAGAAACTCATCAGTGAGTTTTGAGCAAAGAAGGAGCCCTTATGGAGACTTGTATCTCTGTATCGCTGGGGATATGACACCTGCATCAAAAAGGTGGATGCCACTGACTTAGAAGACTGCATTCACTGCTTCCAAAGTTACTTAAAAGGATGTTTTGGAAGCTTCTTTGGCTTTACAAAGTAGTGGGAAATCCTTCTTCTTGTTAATTTGTGAAGTGTGGGAATAAATTCAGGTACTCTGGCAGGTAAAAAAGGCTTTGCCTCATATGCATACACATGGAGCACAAGGGTACACTTTCCATCATTGTGGGTAATTGACCCTGTAAGAGTAATGTTAAAAATACCAGGACACCCTCCCTGCCATGCTCTGTCAGCCTAAGATCCTCTGACATCATATCCAGTCCTCCTGGGAAAGGTATGGCATTAGGCAGATTTGATAGTGAAGGCTGTAACTGCTGAGATCTTTGCCCCTCTGCAAAGATCAGCTTTACAGCTGTGTAAATTTAACACTATCACATCTGCTACGTATGGTAATACTTCTGGCATGAATAGGACATCCCGAGTTCCCAACTGTACAAAATTTTGACACATTATGATGTGGATTTCCTGTGGAAACATAAAAACATGGTGACCTGCCATTGCTTAAACATGATCCCTTCTCAAGATGGGGATATACATACACACAGGCATGTCTAGATAAAGGCTGAACACGGAAGGGCATTGTCACCGTCTGGGGAATTTAAAACTTGACCGTGTGACTGTAACTAACTTGCTTACAGACTTACGTACTCACGCAGAATAGTAGCAAGCTGAAAATTTTTGTGATGCATTCAGAATTAATCATTGTAAGTCAAATCAGCAATTTTCAGAATCCATCATAAGAAGTCATATAAGCAGATACCATCATAGATAATCCAGATCTCACAGTAGTAGTCAGATACACTTACAAGAGACTTCTCGTAAACTCACAGTTTTAGAAACTTGACTGCTGAGGGCATGGAATTGACTTGGCTTAGGAAATGCTGACAACTGATACAGAAGCAGGCTAAGACCTGCTTTGGGGACTGTTTTGGAGTGCTGGCTTCTACTGCGGAATAGAGACAATCCACCCTCAGATGGAGCAACTTTGACCTTCAGTCATTTGGTGAAAACCCTGAACTAGGATTTGCAAGTAAAAGTGCTATCTTCTCTCCGGAACAGTTCCTTAAGGTAACACCTGCTACAAAATGCCTATCGCCTGAGAAGACAAGGAAACAACCTTTAATCATTTGGGCTATATAAAAACCCTTCTATTTTACTGAGACACAGAAGATGAGGAAGGAAGGAGCATCAGAATAGAACTGAATGCTGTAACTATTGAAGATTTTGTTCAACACCCAGGGTCTTGAGATATTCCAGTTTCAAGACTCAGCTAAGCTACAGCAGACTGTATCTAAAGAAGATTCAACCTTATTGATAAAGATTGCCTTACAGTTCCCTTGCACACCATCCCACAGGCTGAGCAAAGACTTGTGTGCACAAGAAAAGAACAATGAATGCCCACCTCAAGTGTTCCTTTGCTTCTGTGTTTTGTGACTCTACTGATGGGGATAAATACTCTGTATTGGAGGAGATGCTAATCTGAAAAGCTGCAAAGTCGTGTGTCCTGTGTACTTTCTGGTATTTTCTAGAAAGGACCATAACATCTAGTCCAGAAACACTGAGTATGTAATCTCTTTCTGAAGCAAACCTCCTCAGAAAGGTCTTTGGCTCCAGTTAGGGTTTACAGGACACGTCTGAATAAAGCTAAAACTGGAACAGTGTTCATGGCCTCCCATATTGAGACTGACCAGAGGGGAAATTCAGTAGTAAGAATGTTGTTTAAAATAATGGATGCGATTCTTATGATGGCATAGGCCTGCACAGGCTGCAGCTGTGCAAGCCGTCCCTCAGAGACAGGGACAACCGAGGCCCCTTGTTGAAAATGTCAGTGGTTGCTAAAGTGAAGAGAAACAAAGTCAATAATTTGCCTTCACTCTGAGAGGCAGTTTCACGGCAGTTTCACGGACACCAAGCACACAGCACTTCAGAGTCCCCAAATGATTTCAGCCAGTTGTCCCTGCGTAGTGCCTACAGCATGATAAACTTCATGAAGAAATACTGAGCTAAACCCCGGGATCAACATCCACATGATTAAAATTTATCTCAACACTCTGCTGTTCTTCCCAACGACTAAAATAGCAAGTCATCTGTGAAAAGAGGGGGGCTAACCAAGGCAATAAGAAAGTGCCTTGAGAGCCCCAGGGAGAGCTTAAAGTGGGAAGTGCCATTTTTTTTGTTCATAACTAGCAGAAAAGGAAGTTACTCCAGTTTGAAGAGAGGCCTCAAATATGTGCTATAGCATAATCCAGAGGACTCAGCCACAACCTCTCTTTACATTGTAGATTGTAAATACTATCTACAGTGTAATCTAACTCAGATTTCCTCTTGTAGTAAGACGCTCAAACTGACTGCAAGTACCCTAAGGATTAAGGTCCTGATAAAAAGCAACAGACAAGCAGATTATATACACTGCTCAAACAAACAAGAAAGATTAGTGCTTTCAAACTATGCAATGAAAAATAAAGTAAGCTTAAAGCCACATCTCTGAGCAAGAGAAACCACAAGTGAAGGTAATCATTTTCTGAAAAAAAAGGCAGAAACAAATAAGGTACTCAAAAAGAACACTAAACACTGGGAAATAAAACAGATAATCACAACTGGAACTAACTAGCTACACGGAAGTGCCTGCTATTGTTGGACTGAAGCTGAAAGGAGGAAGAGCCTTCTCATTCTTCCCATGGGTGTCTGGGGCTGGGAAGGTGAGGCACTATGCATGTGCTCTACAGACGCTAACATATTGGAACATCTTAATTGAAACATCTGCCTGAATGGGAACCTGAGCAATTACTGCAGAGATACAATTTTAGTAACTTTCACAAGCCTCCAGTAAACTAAGCCATTCATTTTTAACTTCACTAAAGGCAGTGTAACTTAAGAATTAGAAATACTCAAAAATTAAACCCTCAAGAAAACTATCATTTCATTAACAGGTCCACCCTTCAGAATGCTGAATCTGTAAGGAAACTGTGCTTTCCAAATTTAAAAGTATTTCTTCATTAGAAAAATACTACATAAAATGTAAGTTTTACTAGTAGTTATTAGGAACAAAGATTTACATTAAAATTTAACAAACATTATTTATCAATTTAACTGATGGACTTAAAAAAAACCCCAAACAAACCAAAAAACCCTAAACCCTGATGGCTACTATTTCCAAAAGCAACATAAGAAAAAGTTAAATTGCACAGGCAAATATCAGTAAGTTTGTGAATGTGACTTCCATTTGCAGACTCTTCTGCTGTCCTCTTCTGTCCCCTTTGTCGCCTTCTCCTATTAGGCTCTGTTTCTGCCCTTAACTTTCGTATCAGCTCCTGTTTCCTAACCATTCCCAGCTTTTCTTCATGTTTGTAGGTATACTTCAGAGCAGTATTCTCCTTCTACTTTGCCTGTAAGGACAGATACACTGATAGTACAAGAAAATATAACTCTCTCCTAATACTTCTTGTCATGGAGACCTCCAGTTCAATAAAAGGTTTATCTGTTCCTACAGCTGCCAGGATATTAAACCCAAAAAATTCCTGCTGCAAAAAGCAGCTGCAGGGAAAACCGTGTTTCACACAAACAAACCTTCAGTGCATTAAACTGATAAATCTATCAGCCTTTATTCAACATACAGAAATTAAGAATATTTCGGTATTTGTAGCTTGCCAAAACTTCTTTTCATAGGAACACCAACTCACGCTCCCTGGGTGCCAACATGATCCCATTCCCTCCTAGCTCACAGTTACCTAAGTCTCTGAACAAGGAAAGCTTCTCAGAAGGTCAGGCTTCTTACTTTGAAGCAAACACAAGCTCAGTTTCCAAAAACAAACAAACAAACAAAAAAAAAAAAAATAAAAACCACACAAGGACACAAGCAGCTCATCAGGGAACGTTCGTTCCCCTTTGTGTTGTTTAGATACAGTGATGATACAAGACTGCTGAAAATTACTGATTTGAAGCACAGGTATGAAAACATCAGGATTAGGAATTTGCTGTTGTTCCGTGTGCCATCTCTAAAAATTAAAACTATTTTATCCTGCTTGTTACAGGTGACTTCTTATGTATATCATTAGTAAATGGATTTATACAGTTACGCTACAATCTCGGAGACAAGACAGTCATCCTACAGACCTTTCAGAAAGTCAGTACAAATGGAAGTATATGGCATTCACTCAAAGCAGGAAGAGTTGGCAATGAAGGCTACGTGGACCTGGATGGTGTGAACATTACTCATAAAGCTAGTCCTGGAATGAATGCACTAGACACACGGACAGACTTTTTTGTTGGAGGGGTGTCCTCCTTAAACCTTGTTAATTCAATGGCAGTAGAAAATGAACCCACAGGTTTCACTGGTTGTATACGAGAACTTCTTATCAACAACAGGGAACTGAAGCTTACTGTGAGTGACCCCACAGGTGGAGCCAATGTTGGTGACTGTGATGGAACAGTTTGCGGGTACACGGTGTGCAAAAATAATGGAACATGTAAAGCTGAAAACTCAGGCTTTTCTTGTTCTTGCCCACAGGAGTGGACAGGGAGCACATGTGAAAAATCTATTCACTGTTCACAACACAGGTGTGGGTCTCAGGCTCTCTGTATTCCTCAACCTACTTCGTTTTCATATTCCTGCATGTGTGCACTAGGCTGGTCAGGTAAATACTGTGATAGCAAAATCCATTTTTTTATAGCAAAGTTTGTCGGCAACTCCTACATGAAATACACAGATCCTTATTATGGAAAAAGAGACCTCCAGTATAGCCGCATTTCTTTAAATTTTACTACCAATCAATCTGAAGGCTTAATAGTATGGATGGGGAAAGCTGAAGATGAAGATAATGATTTCCTTGCCATTGGTCTTGCCAATGGAACACTAAAAGTTGTGATTAATCTTGGAGAAAGAATCTCTGTTCCTCTAATTCATAGTAATTACTCCTCCTGTTGTGACGAAAGGTGGCATTTCGTTACTGTAGTTCAAAACCAAACTTGCATTAAGGTCTACCTTGATGAGGAGCTAATTCTTTTTGAAGATATTGATCCACACAGAAAATACACTGCTTTAAACTATGGTGGTATTTGTTATTTTGGTGGGTTTGAAATTGGCAGGGAAGTCAATACAGTCACTACAGGGCTTTTTCACAAGGAATTCATTGGTAAAATTAAAGATGTTGTGCTCTTCCAAGACTCCAAGAAGATTCACCTCATGAAAGCAGAAGGGTATAATGTTTACAATGGAAATTACAGAAATTAACTGAAAAACTATGTCTTTAAAAGTGGTAAATTTTCTTTTCCTCCTGTTTCTTGTAGTAGCAGGCAGTGTAAGACTCAGGAACCAACATAGGAAAACACCAAATAATTATCCCTAACTATTTTTTTTAATGTTGACTATTAATAGTTTGCCTAAAATGTCATCAGATGTTTCATTCAGAAAATTAATTCTATGTAGTCCTTAGTATTTACCTTAAAATAACTGGAAAGTCTGAGGTTTTTTTCTTTATTGTTCTGGAAATAGGTGTGTAGACAAACAGGTAGTAATTAGCTTATAAAGCCAACCATCACTCCAGTATTAACTGGTTGTTGCTTTATGAGCAGACAACTTACCTGTTCCTCCAAAACTCTTAAATTCCATTAGAATGAAGAGTTTCCCTTACAACATTTAACATTAAGGGCAAGTGTAAAATTTGGGAGGGGACGGGGGAGGGGAGTAAGATGGGAAGAAAAGGTGTACTTGGGATAAAAAGCTCGTATTTATTGTAATTATATATATTTTTTTTTAATCACAGTATCTGTAATTACTTCTTAACTCCACAACGATTATTCTAGGCAACAAAGTTGTTCTCCCTCCAAGTTGAGTTTCTGTCCATTGGGTATGCATTTATGTAAAACGACAGAACTTAAGCCTGTCTTCACACTAAAATACTCCCATTTGAAGAATGATCCTAAGAGCAGAAAATGTATTTCACTTAATTACTGATGATAATAAAACATACCTGATGGTTTTGCACAGCAGAGGTGTCCCTTATTTGACTACAGGGAAACATTTTCGTTTAACCACTCACAACTGGAATGTGGGAACCTGGCTGGCTGCCTACAACTAACTTCTACTCCCAACAGCTTGAAAACCACAAAGTCTAAGAACTGCTTTGCTTTAGCTGTCTCGCTTATGTGTTCCCAAAGGAAATTTTGAGATAGGCAAAGGTTTGGGCCACAGTAAATTGAATTTCCATGACTATGTTCTTCATGAATTTACAATCTCAAAAGTAAACAGAGCTCTTCATATGTAAATGCAAAAATTCTATTTCCTTCTGAAAAAAACTCAAGTTATATTATACTTAAGTGAGCAATAAAAAGAAAAAATCAAATTCTATTTTAATGTGCTTAATGAGAGACTTATGATGGTATCTACATTTATCATTTGACTGCTGTCTTATTATCTAAGTAAAATTATTCAATAAAAATAATAGCAATTGATTCCTATCTTTTCCTTTTTTACTTCACTACTGCTCAAAAGCACACAATCAATCATCACCTCCTTGTACAGTAATTTTCTGAATACAAGTCTTCAGTGGGTACCCATCAACAGCAAGTAACTATTTCTAATTTGTTTTCTGTCTTTCCGTAAAGCAGATACGGAGCAGAGACAACAAGCACAGTAAAAACTAGGTGACACACATTTGTTTCCACATAACCGTAATCAGTATGTAGCGATGAATACACTGCCAAGTCAGTTACGGATGAGTTGAAAATAACTAATGGAGGGGGGGTGGGGTGATGGAACTACCCCCAGATGTTTTAATAAGTACCTGCCAATATCTTTGTGAGGCTCATTCTATCATCTTCAGCTGCTCTAAGCCCTAAAGTGACCAGCCTGATGCAAAAGACCTCCTTCCCCTTTCCCCAGCAGGCAGCTCATGAAGACCACTTGGCATTTGAGGTGCCCCAGATTCTTCCCCTCTTTCCGTTTCGCTTAGCAGGGCCTTTTATGGCCACTTGATGCCAAGGGAATGTATTCAGGGTTTATCTTGTTCTCTCTGGGGCTCCTGGTGTACTGCCAGTTCCTCATCAGCATACTCTATTTTCTGTGGTCTGAGCAGTGATTCAGTGTAAAACCAGTAATCGGAGCACCTCCAGCTAATATGAGTGCTGGAAGGAGAGTGACTGAAGACAAAATCCTTTATTCCTGTAGTAATGGGATTTATTCCCATTACACCAACTCAGATTCTAGGACCAAATCCTGGAAACTGTTGCTGCTTGTTTATTTAAACTCTTAACAAAATTCTCCCTCAAAAGCTGATTTACTGTGACTCTTTTTGGATTCTACATACACAAGGCAGGTAGCAAAGCACTTGGCAAACCTGGAAAACATTTACATATTCTTTCCAAGCAAACTATTTCTTGCAGTTCTGTTAGAAAGCATTCCCATCCCTTCTGTACAGACAGTTGCAGTTTTCACTGCTCCCAGTTTAGTTTTGAAGCGCAAATGGATGTGAATATGAGAAATGGATCACCAGTGGACCAGGAAAAGACTACTTTGGAAGAGGTTAAAAGAAAACCTTTACAAACAGAGCTACTGATTTTAAAACTTCTTCTAAAAACCAAAGCAATGCTTTGATGCACTTCTATGCCTAAAAAACTCTGATGGAAATATTTAAACAACACATGCATAATACCGCCAGATATATTCAATGGCACTGCTGCCATTGGCACTGCAATGGAATAAATTTGGAAAAGACTAATTTAATCACATAATGTTATTAAGCTATAAAAGTGTAATATTGTTTCTAGTTTCCAAAACCTGAGAACGTTTCTTTATGCATCTTTTCAACTACTAGAAACATTACCTAATAACACTCTACCACCCCTTTATTCCATGCAAGGTTTTTCATTTTAGTCAGTTTGACGATGAAGCTACCTGCAAGGTATCCAAATGGAGTTTTACTTTAAAATGGATTCATAATTAAAACTTAACAATTAGTATGCTGTTAAACTGGAAAGACCTTTCTGGAAAGAAGAGGTTTCTACAGCAAAGTGCAAATGCTACATCAGTACATAAAGTGATGTACTCAAAAGTAAAATAAAAACCAAAACACTGAAAACCAGAACAACAAATAAGTTTTCCTTTATATGGTGGAATATTTCTGTTGTTTCTGACAGACTCAACAAAATGAACAGTGTATTTTAAGAAGTGTAAGAGCAGGATATCTTAGTTTGTCTTCAGGTTTGCATTTTTTCTGGCTTTCTAGCTTGCATCAGTGGATAGCAGTCACTGCAATATATCAATTTACAGTAAGTCCCAATGCCCTTCTCCTCCCTCCCTTTGCCCCTCAAAATCTGAAATGACCAAGCCATGAAGCATACAACAAATTTGGCATTCTGTAACTCAGCCTCCTGTATTCATTTAGCCTACAGTTTCACACCTATGAAATCAAACACACACAGCATGTGAGAAAGTTTTATCATTTTAGAATCAAAATATCCCTTAAAATATTTACATTTTACAGTAAAAAGGATAGCAAAACACAAAGTAATGTACAAGCTTAAGTATTCAAGTTTTTGAAGCATGGGAAATGCTGGGAGAAATGAATTTATTACTACAAATCATATTTTTAAGAATTCATGTTAAAAATGCTTTCTTATTAAAATGAGTGCCATTTAAAGCAATAACATTCGAACAGCTCAGCCTTCCAATTTCTGGTCACAAACTGCTTCAGATGCTTAGGAAATACTTGAAAAACTAATGAAATATACTTGAATTATTTTATTGTACTACCAAATAATTCAAAAAACTCTTTACACCACCAAGCATGTTCAATTTTGTTGTAACGTGTGTGGATTCTCAGGCTCTGCTACAGTCTTTAAAAACAGTGCAATTTAAAAAGGTTATTGTATGAAATTCACCTTTAAAATTATCCAGGCATCTTAAAACAGAAGAGAGCATAAATTACCAAAGGCAGCAACTGTATTGCAGACTTGACTAAAGCCAACTTCATCAGCTAAGAAAACTTCTAAGCCTTTATTGCATATTAATAAATTTTTAAAATTTTTGAATATACAGCAATGTAAAATTTTTAAAAATATTAAACTCCTACTTCTAGCGATAGTTGGTATAATGAAAAAAAGGATGAGTATTGGTACATCAAGCGGTACCAAAACACAGACTTGTTTCTGCAAAACACCAACACAGAATAAAAAAGATGGCACAATCCTAGCAGGCTTTTGTTTTATACAAAGTTTTACGACATAACTCTTAACAGTTTACTTAAATAAAATCCTAAAAGACTGCCTGTATCTTTTCACCTTTTGCTTTTATTTCTGTCACTGTGGTCCCTATGTCTCTCTCTGTTCTTTTCACTGTCTCGTTCTCTATGCTTTTCTTTGCTTTTCTCCCTCTCCTTATCTTTTTCATGAGGCTGTTCTTCACTTTTAGGCTTCTCTGTCTTTTTTTCTGGATTTCTAGTCTCTCTGGGGCTTTTTACATCAGCAGCCCTATCACTGTGTGGAGATCGCAATCTTTCTTTGTCTCTCTGGCCTTCCTCCCTACTCTTCCTATCTCTCTCTTTTTCCTGGTTTCTGTCTCTGCGTCTGTTTCTTTCAGAATCTTGCTCCCAGTATTTTTCATTGTTCCACTCTTTTTCATGTCTGTCTTTCTTTTGGTGATGGGAATCACTGTAAAATCTTTGTCTGTGTTGATCATTTTTGCTTCTACTGAACCCTCTCTCCAGATGCTGTTCCTGTCTGCCCCAAGGATCACTGTGGCGTCTTTCTGGTCTCCTACTGTCTTTACTCTGAAAAAAATTTTCTGGCCCCATAAATCGTGGTTGTTTGTGAGCCACTGGTAGCCCTTGTGCAATGGGTCCGGCATAGTGTGGTGGCTGACCTGATAAATGAGCTACTGGCCATGGCATCATAGGATTTTGAGGAAAGCCAAAGCCAGGAGGAGGAAGAAGTGGATGTGGTAAATGAGGAGGAAATCCAAACATAGGGTTGTTTTGTGGAGGGAAGTTATGAGGTGCAGGAGCCTGAAACTGAAATCCAGGTGGATTAGATTTAGGATGCTGAAAATTCTGCTGTGGAGGTCTAACAGACGAGAAGCTAGCACTTCCAAGAGGGCTTGGAACACTGGAAATAAATTCAGAACGAGAAGAGTTTTCGGTTTCAAAATGAGATGAAGTTGCTGCTGGTACTCTTCTAAATGAGTTCAGAGTTTCAATGTTTTGCATTACTGCATCCTCCTGTAAGTGTTTGGTATCTTCCGCTTTTGATGCAACTGTGTTATCTGCTTTTGCTGCAGTTGAACTGTACTGTGTCTCACTGGTTTGTGCATCGCTTTGATACAGGTTT